ATGTTTTTATGATGCCACCAGAAGACATATGCTGGTGTCGGTGGCACTTGTGACATTGTTTGAAACTATGCTACAGTCTCTTACGGTACTAATATGTACTGTAACATTTACATTAAATTAAAAGATTTCTGGATTCTTCCAGAACATGTAGAAGCGAAAGATAAGCCAAAATTGGCAATTGTCTGCATGTTCATAGATCACATTGTTATTAAGTTAGAAGATTTGTTTGTCCAAATAAGCAGGTCCAGCGGTAGACCTCCAGCAGGGTTTCCTCAGCGAACATATAACGCATCTTTTCCTATAGTCGCCAAGAACATAAATAACTGATTCTCAACCGAATAACTAAATTATGAAGACACTAAAGGAAGGTTAACCATAATATGCTATATGTTTGATTCATCAAAATTTGATTTTTCTTTATCTGCTAATTTTTACGATTTTCATCTAACAAGAAGCTACTCACTTTTCATTTGCTTTTACTCACTTAACCGTTCAGTCAATTCATTCATCTACTTATTTATTCATTCATTCATTTATTCATTCATATACATATATTTGTTCAATCACATTTGCTCATTCATTCATTTACTCCATTTATTCACTTGACTCCTATATTCACCTGATATTTCTGCTTACTCTGTTCATAAAATTGTAATTAATAATGAGCATTTTAATTAATGATACACTTGATGCTCATTTATGCTAAAGTAAATAAGATATATTTTTCATAACACTCTCTTAGTCTAAAACTTTTCTATTTTTAAAAATGTTTAGAAAAACAACATTTTTGTACTTTATCATATTTTATCACATTCATTTCAGTATCTCGGCTCATTTCCCATTTCCAACACCACACCAGAACATGTCTCTTCCCGCTTGGAAAATTTCCAAGCTCCCCCCACATCCAAACCTGTAACATTATCGGTTTCACTACTAGGAGTCAGAGTGCACACTAAAGAGGTGAGTAATCGAGTTCTCCAAAATCAACATAGTAAATCACTCAAATAGTCGGGTAATTTCCATAGCAAACGAGCCGCGA